AAAAAACTGGTAAAAGATCTCAAGTCCAAGTGCAAAATGGAAGTGAATGAGATGCTTTTGAAGGTTATTCTTGGAGGTGGGATGGAAGACTTTAAAGGAGAAGCATGTGTGGCTCAGCTTTCTCTAAGAAATGGTTGCTATGTAGGTAGAGGGGGCTATCTTTATGAAGAAGATAGCTGTAAAACTCCTACTGCCGTGCCAAATATTTCTGAAAGCAGGCATGGGTTGGCCTTACAGCTGATACATGAAGCAGCAAGCAAACTAGAGAAACAGGACGAAAATGAAAATAGAGAGCCTATCATCCTTGTGTTAGATCCTGAGGTTCAGGTTCGTCAATTACATCCTTATCACTTTCTGTCTGCTTGGTTTATCTGTTACGGTTCCAAGGCTAAACACCATAGATCATACCAGTGAAATATACTGGCCATTCTTGCACGATATCAATCATTGGGTTTGATGATTATAAATTTTGGCTGGCTTAGTTTTAAGTGTTTTGGTTTGTTTGAACAAAGAAGAGTCTACCTTTTTTTCATGCGTAAACAGATTTGCTTACATGCAACTGTGTTCTGATTTGATTAGATGCTTCCTTGGGAGAATATTCCAATACTAAGGAAACAGGAGGTGTACCGAATGCCTTCTGTAGGTAGCATATCTGCTGTGCTAAAGAAGCGCTCTCTCCAAGGAGAACCAGCCAGATCTCATACTGCTTCCTTTCCTCTTATTGATCCGCTAGATTCCTTTTACTTGTTGAATCCCGGTGGTGATCTCAGCGAGACACAAAGCGATTTTGAGAGTTGGTTCAGAGATAAAAACTTTGAGGTAACATATACACAGAGCTAGCATACTTGTCGTTAACCTTTTCCTTGATGCTAAATTTTTCAAACTTCCGTGATTGCGTATACTTCCAGGGGAAAGCTGGATCAGTACCAAGTGCTGAAGAATTGACAAAAGCATTACAAAACCATGATCTATTTCTATATTTCGGTCATGGAAGTGGTATGATGATTCCTTGAGCACTCCTGAAAAAGTTGTTTTTAGCTGTTTAATTAAGTAAATCTTTGATGCAATCTTCGTTTACTTAGAGATTGATTTTCCAATCATATCTTCTACTGCAGGAGCACAATATCTGTCTAGCCGCGAAATAGAGAAGCTAGACAACTGTTCTGCAACTTTCCTAATGGGATGCAGTAGTGGTTCACTATGGCTAAAAGGCTGCTACATCCCACACGGCATACCACTCTCATATCTCTTAGCTGGATCTCCAGCCATTGTGGCGAACCTGTGGGACGTAACAGACCGAGACATTGATCGGTTTGGGAAAGCGTTGTTGGAAGCTTGGTTGAGAGAGAGATCAGATTCTTCTTCCTCTTCTTCTACCTCAGAGGGTGGTTGCAGCCAATGTGAGTCATTAGCTAACGAACTTGCAGCCATGAATCTAAAAGGCAACAACACCAAGAGGACAAGGAAGCCGTCTTTGCGTAACAAGGCAGCTCAATCAAATATCGATGAGTCAGGGAAGACTGAGTGCAACCACAAGCCTGGACGCAAAATAGGTTCGTTCATGGCTGCGGCTAGAGAAGTGTGTACGTTACCATACTTGATTGGGGCAGCGCCGGTGTGTTATGGTGTACCAACGGGTATCACAAGGAAAAAAGAAGTTGAAGCTCTTCTTCCTTCTTCATCTTCTTAGACTTGAGGGTTCTTTGACGGGTATGAAGTAAATCAGATAACCAACACAAGAGAAAGAAAGAGACTCTAGAGATATTGACCAAGATTCTATATCTTTAATTTGTAAAAAGATTTTCACATGGTATACAATTGTCTTGGTATTTCATGTTATAAAAGTGTTAGTAAGTTACATGTCACTTTTTGTGTATTTAACATACATTGTTTATTCAGGTTACAACAATACAATTTTTGTTTTTTGAATTGACAGTTATATATTAGCTTCATCATACTGTGTAGAACATGTGACATTCAGCATCTTGGTTGATTGTGTTGGTCAGCCATCGATCGTTAAATGAGTCAGTTACAGCTGAATTCAAGCTATTTGAAGGTATGCTTATTTTCTTTTCGACAAACATATTAGGAAAAGAGGGATTCTCACAATGGTAATGGAACTGAATCCACCTTACTTTTGATTCAATGCAAAAAATATTACCAAAAATACATACGGTACGCTGATTACAAAGGGCGAAGGAATGATATACATCGTAGTACACTTCAACCAAGCAAGAATCGAAAAGTCTGATTGCTTAGCTAAATTTGTTTGTATCCCAAACATATAAAAATCAATGAAGAAAGAATAAGCTGAACTTTACACAGAAATGAGGAGAATTTACATTCATGATTGTACATATGCCATCTTTAGACCATCGTTGGACTACTTTCACTTCTTGTATTGAAGAAGACATGTGAATCATATGATTTCTTCTTCACTGATACCTGCAGAGATATTTACACACTTTTTCACATCTGATGACTAACACTCATCCCTCTTCAGTCAGTGTCCCTTGAACACAGTCTCAGGCTCAGCTGTATAAAATGCTTATCATTTGGTGGTTATCAATTGCCATCCCGTAAACTTATCCGGGTCATTTGATGTGTATTATTTCACAATTCTCCTGAAGTTTACGCAGAAGAAATGTAAACAAACACTATTCTGGTTTCGGTAATGACTTAATGTTACACTATACTTTAGTTGGTATCTTGTGATTGGATACTTTTTAGGTAAATTTGGTTTAGATCGTGAGCTAATTCTTTTGCGAGTTTTAGTATTTTATTCGTTACTCAAATTTTGGTAGGTTTTGGTACAAGAACATACTCTGCACCAAGAGGTCCCTGGTCATGTTCTTCATGGCAAACAGAATAAAGTACAAGCAGAAGTTTAGGAGACAAAAGAGGATAAAATGGACATAAGTTTCTTTCTGCCGTCTTATGTTTTGTAGAAAGACGAGATAACGTATATGGTCGAACTAAAAAGTAACACAGTCTGTATGACTTGTGTTTTCTTATACCTTTTCAATACTTGTAGGACACGATCTAAATCCTGATGTGATGAGGTGAGGACTTTGTTAGGACTTTTCACCACAATTTTTCTTGTTGAGTTTCATCATATGCACTTCGTTTTAATTTCTTGTGAACTTAGTGTTTGTTCTTATATAGATGGCTCTTGAGCTAACCTTGAATTTACCTAAACAGAGTTGCTGTTGTAGCTCTTATATTGGCGCATGTACCACATCAAGCGTATAAAATCAAATGCAAATGTACTATTTTAAAAATTAAGTATTGTCATTCGTTTTAAGCGTGATAGATATAATACAATTTTTAGTCCAGTATTATCAAACATTAGATATATCATTCCGAATGCATACATTAGGCGAAAAATTTGACCACCCAAAAATATTTTTAGCAGAGTACAAAATATTAAACATATTTATCAGGCAAACAACCGTTGGTATACTATACTCATTCATTTCTCCATCCACTAAAATTATAATTGTACCATAAATATATAATCATTAGCACAAACTTATCTGTGATCTAACGATCATATTACAGATTTACATTGATGCTGACCTCATAAATAGTCTAAGAATCTGCAGCTTATGATTAAACTCAGCAAAGAAAATACTTGTGTTGCATTTTCCAAAATTATATAGAGAGAAGAAATGTGGCAATCAGTGTCCTGAGAGGAAGCATTACAAGCAAAAGCTTCTAGCCCTAAAAAATATTTGAAAAATCAACCTTGTTTAAAAGAAAATTATTATTATGGTATATAAATGGTTTTATAAAAATGACCAATTTTTTAAAAATTGCTTCTGGTCTTTCCCATGTCAGGACCAGTACTGGTGGCAATACGTTCATAAAAGAAAATGTTACCTTCGCAGTACTTGGGAATCAGATCATTTGATGTAACTACTACTTATACAAGATCTGTTTTCGTTTATGAGCAAATAATATTATCATTATAATTTTTTTGTAAAAGTTGGATAGGTTTCTTGTTTTCAATGTAAGTAAAGGTAAAATTCCCAAATACTGAACTCAAATTGTGAAAACGAAGTGGTCCTTGCAGCGTGCGACACCTGTACCGAGATATGAAAAGATGAATAAAATGCAAATGTTATTTAAATGTATGAGTATTAGCTTAATAATAAAGCATCCAATAGTGGATAACCACTTGGTCACGCAGACTAGTTACAATAATTAAACGATTAAAAAACGCCGGGAACGAATAAAGTAAAAGCAAGAAAGCGCACCAAACAAAGTATAATGTTAATAAATTACGATTGTTTCAGTAACTTTTTGTCTTAAACTTTTACCCATTTACTTCAAAAATTAGTACTCCACTAATAGTATCTTTTGATCAAATAATTAAGCACATCTTGTCCGAGAGGAGCTGGCAACCGACAGAGATGCTGGTTGTCCACAGATGAACTGGGAAACCCACTTTGACGGACACCGGATCTGTAGGTTGTCAGTTAACATGGACACGTGTCAAAATCTTATAGTATATCTTTTTTTGTCCACATCTCATTGTATAAGACCCCATAACCTTCACTTCTTACTTGCAGAGATAATATACCAGAATGTTATTAGTATTTCTGATTTTATTACTTATGTATAAACAGATATATACGATCACGACCAAGTTGTATAATTTAATAACTAAACTGAAATTTTTAGAATCCAAAAGAAAAATTCTCACAACAATGAAATCAAACTTATTATCTATTGGAAGCTTTTATATTCCCGCACAGAATTATTACACTACATTATTATATGTAGTGGCCTTCAAATGAAGTTAAACTTTTTACCAAAAGAAGAAAGATATTACGTAATGCCGTTTCTAAAAATAAAAAATGCAATATACTAGACTGTTCTTGAGTCAGGTCTAGGTTATATAGCACTATAGGCATAACAAAAAATGGCAAATTTAATAAAAAGCATATTGAAGTATTATTAATAAAGACGATTATCGAATATTAAGCATAAAAATATCAAAATTTGTTTTGTTTTCTCTCTCCCCTCATTCATGATAAATCTAGGGTTTCTGAGAAGTTCCCAGAAATCTGTATCACACACCCTCTCCCCGAAAGCTCTCTTCTTCTCTCTATCTATCTCGACCTGACACACATAGATAGATAGATACTATATACACAAATAGATAAACACTTCTATCCAAGCGCATTCACATACAAATCAAGAGGGTAAATCTCGTAATCTGTCATATCCTTCTTTAATTCTACAGATGCTGTTCATATTATACATAATTCATCTTATTAATTTTAATATCTGGATACTATTCATTTTCTTGAGCTAATTTTTTTTTTTTATGATTTAATTAAAGAATAGGATTAACTTTGAATAGGATGGTGAGGGGAAAGACGGAGATGAAGAGGATAGAGAACGCAACGAGCAGGCAAGTGACCTTCTCCAAGAGAAGAAATGGACTTTTGAAGAAAGCTTTCGAGTTATCAGTCCTTTGTGATGCTGAAGTTGCTTTGATCATCTTCTCTCCAAGTTCCAAACTCTATGAGTTCTCTAGCTCTAGGTACGTTTACATATGTCTTTCTTATCCTCTCCTTTATTTTATCGATCTACTTGTGCTTAAACTCGATTTATACTGATGGATTGGGTTAGGGATAACCCGTGGATTAAATTTGGTTGAGTGATAATCAAAGTCGTGAGAGAGAGAGTTTTTCAATAGTGATTTTTGTTATATAAAATTAGATCGGAGAAAGAAAATGGAGTGATTTTCTAGGGGTTTGTAGATAGAAATCAGATTTACATGGCTCTGCAACCTAGGGTGTATATATATGTGTATGTATGATGTATATATAAGTGTACTAGTGTGAGCCATCCACTTCTTTCTGTAGATGAGTTGATCTATCTGACTAACACTCTCTCTCTCTAATGAGATATTTTTATCAGGAAGCTTTAAGTTTTACAGATACTTGACTTTTATCCCTTTATGGCAAAGACAAGTCAACAATATTTATCTATCTACACATCTAGTTAGTTTTATCGTATGTGACTTTGAGCTTAGTGTCAGCTAGTTACTCAAACTAGGTCTGTTTTATCAGAATGCAATGGCAAAATATTATCCTTGGAAGTGGTAGTAAGTTTCCTTATTTGGAAGTGGTAGTAAGTTTCCTTATATAACTATATATAATGATAATAATATACACATTAGTCTATATATTTTTCTTTACAAATGTTTGAAAATAATGGATGGATTACTCATTTATTTATGAACAGGCATGTCTAAGTATGTAAAACATTTGTACTCTGATATATATGCGACTCTACATGCTTGCTAATAAAGGAATTTGTTAACCAAGGAATGAAAAGTTCCACATGGTGAAATAATTAACTAAAAGGTTATGACCAACTTATGTATTTCTAATTGGTTTTAAGTTGGAAACCCATGAAATTTAAGTTAATATTGCTTCTTTTCTATATGTGTGTATATGGATGTATTATATACATGTATGTATAAATATGTGGCAACAAAGAGAGATTTTGCTCCACTTTTCACCCACAAACGCTTTACTTAAGCAATGGACAGTGAATGAGTCAGCGCATGTGTGTAGATCAGAATAATATTCATTATTTCTATGGTTTCTCTTATTTTTATGTATTTGATTTAGTTATATAGTTTTACTGATTTTTTTTGATAAACAATTAGTATGTTTATTAAACATATATAGAGTAAAACAATTAGACACTTCAAGAATATACGTGTACTCAAGTGCCTTTTGCGCAAAGCCAAGAGAGGTTAATCACAATTAACTAGGCATTCTTAACGACAGAATCATAGTTTTAACAGTGTTTAGTGATATTTAAAGGGTAGAGATCAGTAGTTTCAGTATCGATCTGAGCATGTCCACGTGCGTCTAGCTATACATACATCCCTATCTATGTATGTATGTGTAATAATGTATGATGTTGGATCATTAAGTTGCTATGTTTTTTATTTAAACAAGGCAACTTCAATGTTGCTATGGTTTTTACAGTCTTTTGCATTTTGAAGTAAAGAGGATTTTCTTATAAAACAAGAGGAATCAATTTTCTGTTTTCATTTAGTCAAATGAGATTTTTGGGGTATCCAAAACGAGTATATTAATCATACATTATATATGAACCTCGAAACATGTGATCAAATTCTAACTTTGGTAACAATGCAACTAATCACATGATTAATTATCTTTGTTTTTCTTACCACATTGTAGAATACTTTGGTGGGTGACAATTATTTTGAGTAAAGTGAAAAAGTATCCGAGTGGAAACAATAACATTTGAAATTATTTTAATAAGTTGAATAATTGCTTCTTAAGTCACACCCATTTACCATCTAGCTAATTATTTATTCTGTATAATTTAATTCTGGTCAATATGGTTCAATCTTTTGAATTTCCACAGAAAATGCGATAAACTATATATAAATTCGCATAGATATTTTACTTCATCTTTCCAGTCACATTTTTAGTTATAGAATTCTGATATAGTAATGTATAATATGTAACTAATTTGCTTGCTTGCTGGAAACTGAAGTGAAAAGGCTTACGTTACTGACTCCACATTTTCGTTTCTTTGATTTGCATTTAATTATTTTCAGTATATCAAAAACAATAGAACGATACCAGAAACGAGTCAAAGAAATTGGGAATAACCACAAGAGAGATGATAATTCTCAGGTAACCAAAACTCTGTCTCAAACTTTGATTTTAGTTATTCTTAATTCTCATTCATACTTTGGTTTACAGCAAGCAAGAGGAGAAACATATGGTCTGACAAAAAAGATTGAGCAGCTAGAGATATCTAAACGGTTTTAAATTCATAATCATATGATCAAATTACTTACTGATATGAATTCGAAACTGTCGTATCATGTCACTTGTATATCAATTGCAGCAAATTGCTTGGAGAAGGTATTGATGCATGTTCTATTGAGGAGCTGCAACAGCTAGAGAATCAGTTGGAGCGAGGCTTGACCAGGATAAGAGCCAAGAAGGTAAATCTTATTGACAACAAAAAAAGCCCGCATAATATCACACTAAATGTATTTTTTGCAAAAATTTATTTTAGAACAATACATGTCGTTCTATTAAATGTCTAATATGCTATTTAATTTCTGTCTGTGGCGTTCCATGCATGAGTATAAATCGTTGCTGTCTATGTGCATGATTTGCATGGCTTCACTAATGATATTACCAACCTCAAGATAATATTGTAATAAAAAAATATCTACAACGCAATTGCATATAGTGTGGGTATATAGCTTAGAGATTCATTGGAATGTACATGCAAAGGTGTATATATTATTTAAATTATCTTTACTATGTAAATTATTTTCTTACATATATTTGTATTTTCAATTATTTTCAGCACCAATTACTCCGTGAAGAAATTGAGAAGTTGAAGGAAGAGGTACGTAAAAAAAATTCACATTTACTCTTTTTTCATTCTCTAATGCGTGTGAACATCTTTATTATATAATGATGTTTGTAAATCATGTTTTATTCGATTTGCAATACTTAAAGTAAGAAAATTCTCTGTTGCTTGTCAAAATCGTAGGAGAGGAATCTCACCAAGGAAAATAAAGAACTGAAGGAGAAGGTAAGTGTCACTACTATTATTATTATGAAGTGAAATGTTTTCTGATTAGAGCTTTGGTGAACTGTAAATAAAAGTTGCATGGAATGGGAGCTATAGTAGTAGCATCATCATCATCAACTTTATCATCAGCAGAAGTGAACATGGAAGACAATGACAATATGGAAGTGGAGACTGGTTTGTTCATTGGACCTCCGGAGACAAGACAATCCAAGAAAACCCCTCCTCAAAACTAATTATCAATAATGTGTGTTAATCTTTTTTTTTTTTATATTTATACATGTTCTTCCAAAAGTCTGAGATGTCAATAAGTTATAATAACTATTACCTAGTTCTGAGTCAAGGAGTCAAACTTTTTTAAAAAAGTACCTGTAAAATACGTTTCTACTTATGTATTCAAACCTATAAGTTACAATATATTGCTTCTCAAAAAAAAAAAATTTAACAATATATTTGTTTAACTTGGTTCATACAAATCTTTTTAGATTCTTATCTTTAGAGCTCGAAATGAGAAAGTGTTGTAGAGTACTCAATGAGAACCCCCAGACTTCAATATAGGCTACTCAAACATTGACCTATAACCCCCAGACTTTTAGGAAAAAAAATATCTTCAAATTAGTTTAATCTTCTTTTATATAAACTCTTAAGAAACTGTTAATGTTACATACTAGACTGGTCAAGTTTCCGAAATGGATTATATAAACCAAACTAAACCAACCATTAGCTTGTATTTCAAGTTAACATAATCAAAAGAGAATAAAAATGATTAAGCCACCACTAAGCCTTCTGGATTGGGGTCCACGTCAATATGTGTGTTTTTCCACAAAAAGAAAAAGTGAAGACTCAAGTTCTGTCCTGTCCCTTTCCGGCGAATTTGGTTCTGTACACAGACTTTAGACATTTCCTCTTTACCAGCTTTTTTGCTTTCCTTCACTGCAATTTCTATATTCTCTCATATAACAATGTATCCTCTTTTGTAGCACATTCAGTGTCGTGGGTCTCAAGCTTTTGTCAGTATGGGCTGCATCATTTCTTCTCGAAGAAAGAAACCGGCACCAAAAGGGTCCCCTGAACACCGTCCTCCTCGCTTCCACGTTCCTCCATCAACAGCAACAATAATAGCTAATGGTGATGGTGATCAAGCACAAAAGGTCTCCGATAAGGTCAATGATAAAGTAAGTCCCAAGGAGCTGAAAAGAGAAGAGAGCGTTCTTGTTGCTAATCCTCCTCCTCGCTGTACAGAATTAGCTGACTCCGGTTGGCCACCGTGGCTTATTCCCGACGCTGCTGAAGCCCTTGTTGGTTGGCTTCCTCGCCATGAATCTCACTTCGAGAAGCAAGAACAAGTCTCTCTCTCTCTCACCCTCTCTTCTCCTTATTGATTCTCATTTGATAAACTTACTTCTTCTCTATGTATCTGCAACAGATTGGAAGAGGAACATTCAGTAAGGTGTTCAAAGCTAGAGATCTTCTCAGCAACAAGACCGTAGCTCTGAAGAGAATCCGTTTCGATCCCAGAGACAAAGAAAGCATCAACAGCATAGCCAGAGAGATCCAAATCCTACGCAAGCTAGATCATCCTAATGTCATTAAACTAGAAGGGCTGATGCTTGTAGAACACGACTCCTCTATCCTCTACATGATCTTTGAGTACATGGAACATGACCTCTTGGGACTCTCTTCATTACTCGGTGTTGAATTCTCAGAACCTCAGGTACTGTTTCATAAAACTTCTAATTCAAAAAATCTTTGTAAACCATCAATGACACATCTATCTTCTTATCAGGTTAAATGCTACATGACACAGCTCTTAAGAGGGCTTGATCATTGTCACACTAACCATGTACTCCATAGAGATATCAAAAGCTCTAATCTTCTCATAAACCAACATGGAGTCCTCAAAATTGCGGATTTTGGGTTATCAACGTTCTTTGATCCTCACAACAGTGTTCCTTTGACTACCAACGTTGTAACTCTATGGTATAGACCTCCTGAGCTTTTGCTTCGAGCTTCTCATTACAGTGTTGGCATCGACTTGTGGAGCACAGGTTGTGTAATAGGTGAGATATTCGCTGGAAAGCCTATTCTTCCTGGAAAAGACGAGGTAAGCCCCTTATTACATTCAAACCAGTCTTGTTCTTCCAGATAAGCATTGTCTCAGAACTTTTCTTTTTATCTGTGTTCTGATGTTAAGAGAGACCAACTGCGAAAGATATTCGAGTTGTGTGGATCACCTTCAGAGGATTATTGGACAAAGCTGAAGCTACAGCTTTCGTCTCCATTGAGACCAATGTTTCCATATGGATCAAATATAGCAGAGACATTCAAAGAGTTTCCAGATCCTGTTATTTCTCTTCTAGAGACTTTGCTCTCTCTTGATCCAGATCTTCGAGGCACTGCAGCTACTGCTCTCAACAGCGAGGTACTTGGGTTTGAATCTATTACATATTCCCTCTGTAAAATGCATGTTATGTTTGTTCTTTATGGCTAACTTCTTCCACTGTGAAACAGTACTTTCACACTGAGCCATTGGCTTGTGATCCATCTTCTCTACCAAAGTACACTCCCAGTAAAGAATTGGACATTAAGAAGCGCGGTGAAACTAGAAAACAAGCTTCAGAAATTATAAGCACAGACGAACCACAAGCTGTAGAGCCAATTCAAGAAGATTCTTCTCTAACAAAGCAGCTTCAGGTATCTTTAATTTTTAGGTTTCTCTAAGTGTTCTGGAAGAAATCTAAAATACAAGATGATGAACATACTGCAGAGAACGTCTTCAGATTCCACGAGCAGAGAAACCTCAAATACAAAGTCTTCTGAGGAAGAGGAGACTTCCAGCTTACAAGATCATTCTCCTAGACAAATGCAAACAGCTATGGACATGACAAGCAATGATGAAAGTGGAGAAGAAGACTCTTACACGGATTCATATGGACACAATCAGAATCAATCAATGAATACGGAGGAAGACATACCTTGGCCAATGAGTCCATCTAGAGTTAACACAACAGCAAGTCTGCCTAGTGTTTGTGAGAATGGAACATCTTCTTCCGAGAGAGTAGGCATCATGCACACTCTGATTGAGGATTGTACTGTCAATTAGATTCAATGGAGAACAGATTCAAACACACATAATAAACATTCTTGCTTTTATTCCTCAAAAAAATTGCAGTGCATATAACTCAAGTCATAAGACAATCCAATCCAAAAGATACAACAAAGTACTCCGGTTTGGGAGAACTGTTTTTTTTTTTGGACAACAAATTACCATATCATTCAAAGAATGGTTTCCATTGAAGGGTTTCTCCAGCAAACATTGGAATGATGTCCCCAAAGGAGAAGGAGAAAGCCTCTGGAACCTTCCAAGGAGCTTTCTTGAAAGTGATCTTTGACGAGTTTCTCGGGAGGCCATAGAAGTCAGGTCCATTGAAGCTTGTGAAAGCTTCCAATTTGTCAAGCGCACCAGCCTATGAACATTAACAAACAGATACGAAACATAAAAGAAACTTAAAAAAACCGAGAAAAGTAGCACTGTTTTTGTTTACTTACCTCATCAAAGACCTTGGCGTATAAGGACAAAGCAACAGGAGCGCTGTAAATACCAGCACATCCGCAGGATGTTTCTTTTCTTCTTCGTTCATGTGGAGCACTATCTGTGCCTAGGAAGAATTTCTTGCTTCCACTAGTTACAGCTTTAACAATGGCTTCTCCTGTAGAATTGAATGATCATCAGAAATCAGCTATAAGAAATAGAATCTCAACGAAGGAAAGTGAAGAACAGAACATACGATGAATCTCTCTTTTGAGAACGGGAAGGCAGTAGTTGTGAGGTTGTAATCCACCTTGGAAAAGAGCGTTCCTGTTGAGCAGGAGATGTTGTGGTGTCACTGTTGCACCCACAAAACCTTCTTTGCAAGATTCAACAAAGTTCACAGCATCCATGGTAGTGATGTGTTCCATCACTACTTTAAGCTGTGGAAGGCGTTGGATTAGAGGCTGCAGAACTGTCTCAATGAAGATTTTCTCGCGGTCAAAGACATCAATATTCGGATCTGTGACCTCTCCATGAACCTAACCAAAAACATTCCTTAGACAAGAAAGACTAAAAGACAGTCTAATCTGCTGTGTGATTTATTTACCAAAAGAGGCATGTTCTGTTTGACCATCTCTTCTAGTACAGGTACGCATTTTCCAAAGAGGTCGGTGACACCATCTTGAGAGTTGGTTGTGGCTCCAGCAGGGTACAGCTTCACCGCATAAACCACACCACTTTCCCCTAAAAGAACGAAGTTATATTATACATAAAGTGAAACTGCCTCCAACAGAATCTCAATTCAAGAAATGAAAATGTATCTGACTACTTGCAGCAATGGCAAAGGTACTAACGGGCAAGCTTGATTTCATCAGGATGGGTTTTGTCAGTCAAATAAAGTGTCATAAGTGGATCAAAGCTACTGTCATTTGGCAAAGCTTTCATGATGGATTCACGGTAAGTAATGGCAGCTGCAGTGGAGATAACAGGCGGCTTCAGATTCGGCATCACAATCGCTCTCCTAAAGTTACTCGCACTACAGACACATGCCACACAACCCATTTCCATCAAGACAAAACACAAGCATCAAAGCAGTGAAAGCAAATGCAAACACATCTTAAAAGAGAAATGCAGGAAGTTATATGACCTGTGGGGAACAACAGCGTGAAGAAGATCACCATCACGGAGATGAAGATGCCAATCATCAGGTTGAGTGATTGTGAGTTCCATTCTCACTGCTCTTGGCTTCACTTTCTTACAAGATTTGTCAGGTTTCTGAGATCCAAATCCCTAAACAAAACGAATAAATACACAACAAGACTCATATGGTCAACGACATGGTTCTGGATTAAATAAAATAAAAAAGGTTACATTAGACCACATTGATTGAACAATATGGAGTAAAGAAAACAAGACTCAAGAGTGCGAAAAGGGATACAGTTACATACACTACAAGGAGAAGCCAAAGCCTTTATCATCACAAGACGTTTCAAGATTCCACCTGTTTTTCAAAAGTGGAACACAAAGAGAAGACATTTCAAATCCAAAATTATTACAAGAACTCAACTTTGTTGACTTAGAATTGTCCTAACATCAGATTTTCAACGTAACTGATTCCAAATTGACTCAGGCGTTTAATTCTTCTGCAAAAGTTGCAAACTTTCTATGGATGCAATGCAAAAAAACAGAGCAGCACAGTATGTGTTACCGTGAGCAGCAATAGAGTTCTAAACAGACAGATGAAAAATTAATTTCAATGAACTAAAAACTCCAAACCTAGTCAACATCCTAAAACCACTTCGAACCAGAATGCTATTATTCCCTTTCCTTACCGCAGAAAAATGAGAATCCGCAGAGGAACGATTGAGAGAAACAGTGAGATGGCAAAAATCATGGTTAATACCGTTGGTTATGCGATCTCGGTTTAGTAAACTAACCGGTTTCAGTAAAAAAAATCGTTTTATTTGGGTAATACGGGTTTAGCATACTAAGTCAAAGAAGAGCTACCATCACCTCGGAATCTTGTTTCTTGTAGCATCAACCATATTGCAATGAATGAACTATTTTATAATCAAAGGCTTATTGCAACACTTGTTTGAGAAATAGCGTTTGAGGAATTATCAGAAATGTTGCCGTGTGAAACAAGGAAAGTCTTGTTAAAAGACAATTCCCCCCCAAACATTACTACTCTGTTTTTGTCTTGTTTCATATATTGAAATGTGTTATTATGCTTTTTGCAGTGTTCTTATGATTTTTGCATTGAAAAGAGAATATTCCAGTCACCTATATGAATTGCCTAAATACTGTATTATATTCGAAATCATGAAATCAGTTTATGTAAGCATCACGCAAATTTGTGCATATAGAGAATACTTCCATCTTTAGCGAGCCTCTTAATCAGTTATGACACGTTGTTAACAGAATAGCCAATAGATCTTCCTGTAAATTGACTTGATTCTAGTCCCTCAGAGTCCACCTCGTGCCTGCTCCGAGGGATAAAACTTGGTATGCGAGGCACAGGTAAAGTGAATGTGTTACTAGTGAGCATCAAGATGATAGTTGACAACATTGGTCGGTCTTCTGGATTTTCTTGTACACATAAGAGCGCGATATGGATGCATCTAGTGACTTCATTACTCTGATAGTTCATTCCAATAGCCGAATCCACCAGCTCTAGTGGTGATCCATTTCTCCAAAGCCTCCAAGCCTAACATAATAAACAATCAAGAAACTCGGACATACATTGAAATATGTTATTTAAAGAAAAACTCTTTGTTGTTTTTCTTCATGCTCACATAAGTGATCAAGTTGCCAGGAGTACTATTTTCATCCATCTGGTAAACACAGCTGTTTTTCTTGCCGCTTATAATCTCGAGAACTAAGACCCCAAAGCTGTAAATGTCAGATTTCATGGAATATGTACCATGCATTGCATACTCAGGAGACATGTAACCACTAAAAACATACAACTCAGGGTTAGAAAAGGTTCAACAAACATTGTGTGTTTTCAGCTATTATGAGCAGAACTTACTAGGTTCCATCTATTCGGCTGGTATTGCCTCGAGTTTGCTCCATTCCAAAGATTGTCGACAATCCAAAACCTGAAATCTTTGGGTTCATATTGGCATCTAAAAGAATGTTGCTGGCTTTGAGGTCACGGTGTATGACTGTGAGCTGTGAATCTTGATGAAGATAAAGAATCCCTCTAGCAATGCCTCCAATAATTTTGTATCGCTGAGTCCAATCTAGCTGGCCTTGCTTTTCAGAGTCTGTTCATTTCCATGTAAGATCAGTCAGTTTTAAAATCATTCCAAGAAGAAAAGCTATTGAAAGGAACCATACCAAATAGGAAATAGTTAAGGCTTTTGTTGGGAACAAACTCATAGATCAGAACCTTTTCATCTCCTTCCAAACAGAATCCAAGAAGCCTAACCAAATTCCTGTGCTGAAGTTTTGAGACAAGTACAGCTTCATTCTTGAACTCTCTTACTCCTTGTCCTGACTTTTTCGACAGTCGTTTCACAGCCACTTCTGTTCCATTTGAAAGCGTACCCTACATACCATTGAACATAACTCGGTATTTTCATAGCCTATAGTAACTTTAAAAAACTTGGAAAACAAAGACCTCCTCACCTTGTAAACCTCTCCGAATCCACCTTAACCGAGCTTATTACTCCTTGAAAACTTGTTTGTTGCAGCTTCAATTGTCTTTAAGTCGTATTGCCATAAATGTGGAGTTGAAATATCACTATCAGCTGCAAAGCAAAGGGTGAGTTAAGGAACAATATATGCTTAAACGACAAAACCTAAAAGACAGGAAACTAACATTCAACTTCAGTTCTGTGCATTGATTTTCTCCTCAGACAACGAACAACTCCTAGAATAAGCAGTATAAAGACGGTAATGACAGTTGGAACTGTAATAGCCGCAACAACTCCAGATGAGATTCCTTTGCTGTCTTTTCATTAATCACATAATAAATAATATCATGTGTTTCAGTAATTCATATAATCATTATATATGTTCCTCAATTTGAATACACTTACCATTATCGGTTGTTCTGGCCTGATCATCCACCGTGATATTATCAAAGGCCTTAGAGTATCTATAAATGTCCCACCTGAAAAAGCAGCTTGGCCGCATAACAACGCCTCCTAGCTTCTGACCACAACATGACTGGTATTCTCTTGCGCTCCGCCGCAGACAGTGATCACAATCACCAGAGGAAAGATCTGGCGTGCACTGCATCAGAGCGTATATGTTCTGAAAAGCTGTCAAGGGTGCAACATCAGCCTTGTAATGGTTATCACTAGAGGATGATGTACTTTTTGCTATGGAGGCTGCATCAATCATACGAACAACTAAGTTTTCCCATATTCTTGTGAACTCTGTTAGATTTGAGTTGATATCTGCTTTGTTGAAGAGCAGTGCACGCGGGTCCAGATCCGCAGATCCTAAGAAAGAAGTGTTGGAGTAGCGCACATGGCAGAGCGTGGGTTGACCAGGCCAATGAAACGCGTTTGTTTGGTTAGGACAATTCTTTATCAAACGATCAGATAAGGTCTTGATACAAACAGAACAGTCTTCTGAAGTTGATCCAGGGATGCACATCCCTATTGCGTAGACACGGTTGGGTTCTTGTCCTACCGAACCGTTGAAGTAGAGGCCCTCTTTGCTTGTGACGTTGGAAGGAAGTGAAGAGAGGATGAGACGGCGATTTGCGTCGTAGGTACCGTTTGGCTTGAAATACCCATTTTTATTCATACATCTTTGTGCTGAAACCGAAGCAACGCCAAAGCTGCTTAGTAGGACAAAACAGAGTATAGAAAACAAACTCATATGTTTTATGATTCACTATAAGCTTGTAGCAAAAGCAAACGCTTCGGTTCGTTTCTTGCAAGGTTTAAACAGCATATGGAAGTTTATCTGATATGCTTTCAGAAACTGTCACGATAAGTCAATGTTATTGATAATAATGTTGAATTATCTAATGTGGATCCATAATACTGACGACATAGGTGATACTATTTTTACTAGAAACAATTGACTATAAGAGATATGATGATCCTTACGGACATCAACATTTATTGTAGAAATGACAAGTGTTGCATTGTGTGGAATTGATCCCCCGCTTTTAAATTTTTAGCTCTAGTTTCTACTGAGACCAAGTCCTCAACGATTCAGTCTCTAACCAAACGACTTTATCTGAGTAGCTTAACATTCAATTTTAAAAAAATGGTTAATTCATATACGGATGGATATAATGAATATGCTTTCCGAATTTTGATATCAAAAATCCTACAATGGCAGAAAATGTATTACTCTTTGTTTTCTTTTGCATTGCTAAGTATTTCTAAACTGAGTTGAGCGAAGACAGAGAGAATACATGAAATAAGATTATGCAAGCATCACACATATATATGTACATATAGAAAATATTTCCATGTTTAACGAGCCTCTAAATCAGTTATTGACACGTCATTAACAGAATAACCAACAGATCTTCCTGTAGATTGACTTGATTCTAGTCCCTCAGAGTCCAGCTCGTTCCCTCTCCGAGGGATGAAACTTGGTAGGCGAGGCACTGGTAAAGTGATCGTGTCACTAGTTAGCATCAAGATGATAGTTGATAACATTGGACGGTCTTCTGGATTGTCTTGTACGCATAAGAGCGCGATATGGATGCATCTAGTTATTTCATTACTCTGATAATTTCTTTCAATGGCCGGATCCACCAGCTCTAGTGGTGACTCATTTCTCCAAAGACTCCAAGCCTAACAAAAATGAATAATCAAGAAAATCAGCCATGTGGAAATATATTATCTAAAAAAAAAAAAATGGTTATTATTCTTTGTGGTTACATAAGTGACCAAGTTGCCGTAAGTACTCGTTTCATCAATCAGGTAACCGCCACTGTTTTTCTTGCCGCTTATAATCTCAAGAACTAAGACGCCAAAGCTATAAATGTCAGATTTCATGGAGTATTGACCATGCATTGCATACTCCGGAGACATGTAACCACTGAAACCATGAAACTCATGTTAATATGCAGTAGAAAAAGGTTAGACAAACATTGTGTGTTGTCAGCTACTGTGAGCAGGACTCTTACTATGTTCCAGCTATTCTGTTGGTATTTCCTCGAGTTTGCTCCATTCTAAAGATTGTCGACAATCCAAAATCTGAAATCTTTGCATTCATATTGGCGTCTAAAAGAATGTTGCTGGCTTTGAGGTCACGGTGTATTATTGTGAGTAGTGAATCTTGATGAAGATAAAGAATTCCTCTAGCGATCCCTCCAATGATCTTGTATCGCTTAGTCCAGTCTAATTGGCTTTGCTTCTCAGGGTCTGCACATGTCCATGTACGATAAGTCACTTTTAAAATAGAAGAAGAATCCTTCCAAAAATAAGAAAAAGACTATTGAAGAGAACCATACGAAATAGGAAATGGTTAAGGCTTTTGTTAGGGACAAACTCATAGATCAGAATCTTTTCATCTCCTTCCAAACAGAATCCAAGAAGCCTAACCAAATTCCTGTGCTGAAGTTTTGAGACAAGAACAGCCTCGTTCTTGAACTCTCTTATCCCTTGTCCTGACTTTTTCGATAATCGCTTCACAGCCACTTCAGTTCCATTTGAAAGTGTACCCTACAATACCATTGAAGGAAAGAAACATAGCCGGTTATTATCATAACCTATAGTAACTTAGAAAAAAAAATGAAAAATAGAGAGCTCCCATACCTTGTAAACCTCACCAAATCCACCTTCACCGAGCTTATTACGCCATGAAAACTTGTTTGTTGCAGCTTCAATTGTCTTAAAGTCATATTGTGATGAATGTGTAGTTGAAATATCACTATTAGCTGCAAAGCAAAGGGTGTATAGTTCTATTGGCTTAAGGGACAATATATGCTTATAATGAAAGAAACAACAAGACAAGAAACTAACATTCAACTTCAGTTCTTTGCATTGACTTTCTCCTCCGACAAAGAAATACTCCTAGAACAAGCAGTATAAAGACGGTAATGGCAGTTGGAATGGTGATCGCCGCAACAACTCCAGATGAAATTCCTTTGCTATCTTCTCATAATCACATAAAAACAATGTCATATATGTTTCAGTTCTTCTTACAATCATAAACTTTCTTCAATAGTAAAACACTTGCTGGCCTGATCACCTGGAGGTTGCAGCGTAGCCGCAAGAGGAGGAGAAGCCACACGAGAAGGAGGAGGAGGAGGAGGAGAAGCCACCGTGATATTATCAAAGGCCTTAGAATATGTATACATATCCCACCTGAAAAAGCAGCTTGGTCGCATAACAACGCCTCCTTGCTTCTGACCGCAGCATGACTTGTAGTCCCTTGCGCTCTGTCGCAGACAGTTATCACAATCACCAGAGGAAAGATCTGGCGTGCATTGCATCAAAGCGTATATGTTCTGGAGAGATGTCACCGATGCAACATCAGCCTTGTAATGGTTATTACTAGAGGATGGTGTGCTTTTTGCTAAGGAGGCTGCATCAATCATACGGACAACTAGGTTTTCCCATATTGTCGTGAACTCTGTTAGATTTGAGGTGATGTCTCCTGTGTTATAGACCACTGCAGGCAGGTACAGATTCGCAGATCCTAAGAAAGAAGTGTTGGAGTAGCGCACATAGCAGAGCGTGGGGTCACCAGGCCAAGTAAATGCGTTTGTTTGGTTAGGACAATTCTGTATTAAATCATCAGACGCGGTCTTGATACAATCAGAACAGTCATCTGAAGTTGATCCAGGGATGCACATCCCTACTGCATAGACACGGTTGGGTTCTTGTCCGATGGAACCGTTGAAGAAGAGCCCCTCTTTGCTTGTGACGTTGGAAGGAAGTAAAGAGAGGATGAGACGGCGGTTTGTGTCGTAAGTACTGTTGGGCCTGAAATGTCCATTATCATCCATACATGTTTGTGCTGAAACCGAAGCAACGCTAAAGCTGATTAGGACAAAACAGAGGATTGAAAACAAACTCCTCTGCTTCATAATTCTTTCTGTTAAGGTTGTTGTAGCAAAAGCAAAATGTTTGTCTTTAGTATTCACGCATCTGTTTGTTTAATGGAAGTTTCTCTCCGGAATTTCTAGTTTTGAATTCGTCAAACTGATAACAGTGATCCCTCAAACCTTCACTTTCAGACACGGCACGATCAGTAAAAAGTCAACGTTAATAATAATAATGTTAAATATTCTTATGTGGGTAGTATATCACTAGAAGCCAATGGATAAAAGACAGATGATGATCGTTTACATTACAGATATCAATTTTTATTGTAGGCGTGAGAATAGTTGCGTTGTGTGGAATTGACTTTTTTTTTTTTTTTTATGTGAAATTGACTTTACACTTTCAAATTTCGTTTTATGTATACTTGTCATGATTTGCGCCATCTTTCATGTGGGTACTTATTATCATATGTGGTAAGTGAGACGGCTAATTAGTGCTGGAAAGCCTCTAATGGAAAGGTCTAGCCTAAAATCAAGTGGACCAAAGTGACTCGTTAAGTCTTGTTGCCCAAATTAGGCGTTCCGCTACACGATGATATGCCATCAACACGGTCTCAAAAAAATTTAAGCTCTATTCAAAACAAAATCTAATATTTTTAAAAGAGAATTCGGCCAAAAAAAGCACCAACTTTGCACGAATGGCCAAAAGAAACCTGTACTCGAGTCTGGCCAAAAGAAACCTGAACTTTTGTTGACTTTATTAGTTTATTAAGAAACTTACGATTGACTCGCCTTTTTAACACACCGTTAACAAACCGTTAAGACGGTGTTAAGTCGGACGTTAATTGTTGCCGTTAGGATGAAACGACGTCGTTTTAAGCTATTTGAAAATAAAAAACGTAGACCACTGGATTCGAACCCGGGTTGATTGGATTAAGTGGCACATTCAATGTATATAGAGTTGATAACGGTTTGAGGCACTTTTTTATCTTTTTTGACACATTGAAACACAAGTTGCCTTTGGCACACTTTATTGTTATTCTCAGCTCATTTCGGACAGTATTGCCCTTTGCTTCCTTAACTGAGACAAATGTTGATTTAGGGATTTTAATATATTTATATTGTTCCGTTGAAAACGACAGCACATACTTGTGCTTTCCTTGTGCTTTCTGTTTCTTCTGAGGAGTAATAAATTTTTTTTTGTGAGGAATTAGGAGATTTAACAGCCGTCGGATGGAAGCAAATCTAAGGGTTAGGGTGAGCTGAGGTTTAGAAAGTAGGTATGATAATAAATGCTTCATTACTCTCCTTCTTCTCTGTTTTATCGAAAGCAGTTTTGTATCTGCAAGTATAGCTTCCTGTATTTGTAAGCATTTTATCAGTCTATTTTGATTTTAGTGTTTGACGGACTGACATTCTCAACTTTGTTTAGGGATTCAACGATGGAGGAACATTGCATGGTATTAAGCGGTGATTGGGTTTTTGGAGAAGGAGGTACGTGGGATTTTGTCATCGAGAAAAATCAGATGGGTCGTATGGTTCATATGTACGACGGTATTGGGTGCAAGGAGCTGGAGGGGAATGTGCTACGAGAGTTTAAACTTGATGAGGAGCGTTACCGTGTATCTTTAAGCTATTGGCCACCAACAAGTTTTGAAATTGCTACGGGGATAAGAACTCCCCCGGTTTTGATAACTAACAGTGGGGCGGTGAAGTATTTCTGTCAACATCAAAAAGTGAAAGGCGGGATGAATTTGTTTGCGAAGTTTGAACTGAAGACAGAGAACATGGACAACGTAGTTGTGGACGACTCCGGGATGGGATTTGTGTCACCAGAAGCGGCGAGATTTCGGTGCCAGAAGGACTTGAGTTGTGGTTCCTCAAAGAAGGGGTTTGTTTCCTCAGCTGGTTCAAAGACCAGAGTAGTCGACATTGACGAGGACGAAGATTTTGTGCGGGGAGTAGAGAGTGTAGAGGAGAGAATCATGAGTGAAAGTGTGAAAGGGGATAGTAGCAAAGTCGAGGATGATAGTGGTTGTACTCTAGGAACAGATGAAGAAGTGAACTTTGAGATGGACGAGATTTCGCTGAGGCCAAGAGGTTATGATAAGGAGTTTTGGAAACCCTTACTAGTTGGTGATTTTGGAGGTTCTGATGCTGTGAATGTTGTTTACAATGAGGATGAGATTGTTGAGGGTATGACCAAGAAGAGAGGCGCACGTAGTTATTTCTGTGACACACAAAGCTGTTTTGACCACTATGTTGAGGTCGGTGGAGGAGAAGAGAAAGCCAAATATGAGAAAACGGAGGCTTCTAATCCTTGGATGGGAGGTGGTAGTGAGCAAGCAGGAGATTTAAACAGGAGTGTGCCAAAAAGAAGACTTGAGGATATCGATGATGAGGAGTTTGATATACCACCGTTGTTTGATGATACAGAATTTGATGCAGCTGAAATCCCTGATATGGATGTGGATGAGTGTGACGGTAGGATAGAAGTAGGGAAGGTGTTTGGAAGCAAAGAGGATTGTCAGATTGCTTTAGCTATATATGCGATAAAGCAGCAGTTCAAATTCAAACAAACACGGACGAAAATAGATTCTTTTGTTGTTGAGTGTCCGGATAGCAGATGTGATTGGCGAGTAACTGCACATGAAGTAAGGGGATGTGGGTACTATGAGATAAGGAAGGCACAACTTGATCATAGCTGTCCCATAGAGTTTAGGAATGGATACAGGAGCAAAGCTACATCTCGTGTGATAGCTGCTGTTTATAAGGCAAAGTTTGGAGACACAAGTAAGCCGCCTATTGCTAGGGATTTGCAAAGACTTGTTCTAGAGGATCTGCGGGTGGACGCCTCGTACATGAAATGCTATCGGGCGAAGGAGAAAGCTGTTTTGGGGTTGCGTGGTTCAGATGAGGACTCTTACTTAAAGCTGCCGGAGTATTTGCATATGTTGAAGGTTGCAAATCCTGGGACAATAGCTGATTTGAAAACTGATGTGGATGAAGACGGGGACGAACGTTTTCTATATTTGTTTCTAGCTTTTGGTGCTTCAATAAGTGGGTTTAGGAAGCTGAGACATGTTTTGGTGGTTGATGGAACACACCTCAGTGGCAAGTACAAAGGCGTGTTGTTGACTGCTAGTGGACAGGATGCTAATTTCCAAATTTTCCCACTTGCATTTGCAGTTGTGGACAGTGAAGATGAGGATGCTTGGACCTGGTTTCTTGAGAAAGTAGAGAGGATTCTTGGGGACTCTCCTTCTCTGGCGATTATTTCAGACAGGGCTGTGTGCATATCTAATGCAGTTAGCAAGATTTATCCTCAGGCCAAGCATGGGGCTTGCATTGTTCATCTTGCTAGGAATGTTAACTCTAGGTTTTCAAGCAAGAACTTAGCAAAGATGGTTACAGCCGCTGCAATGGCCCATAGTCCCGGGGTGTTTAAAGATCTTTACGGAAAGATTAGGGCTGCTAACAGTGCATGTGGTATCTATTTGGGTAAAATAGGTGTTGCTCGGTGGTCTAGAGCAAATTTCCCAGGTGATAGGTATAACATTATGACTAGCAATATTGCTGAACAACTTAACAAGGCGTTACTGGAAGGTAGGGGAGCTGCTATAGTGGANATAGTCCCGGGGTGTTTAAAGATCTTTACGGAAAGATTAGGGCTGCTAACAGTGCATGTGGTATCTATTTGGGTAAAATAGGTGTTGCTCGGTGGTCTAGAGCAAATTTCCCAGGTGATAGGTATAACATTATGACTAGCAATATTGCTGAACAACTTAACAAGGCGTTACTGGAAGGTAGGGGAGCTGCTATAGTGGAGTTGGTAACTTTCATACAAAGGATGATGACCAGATGGTTCTGTGCCAGAAGGAAGAAAGCAGAGAAACACAGAGGTTTGGTGAGCTTGGAAGTTGACAAACAGATGACGAAGAACATGGCAACTGTGAAAGGAAGCAAGATTAATGCAGTTGATGGCTGGACCAGTCAGATTTTGGGGAAGTTCGGTAAATCAGACAAAGTGATGCTAGGAGAGAGAAAGTGTAGCTGCAAATATTTTGATAATATCAAAATTCCTTGTGGTCATGCTATGATTGCAGCTGACGGGGTCGGTGTGCCTCACGACACATTGTGTGGGCATTGGTACAAAACGACAGTGTGGAGGGAGACATATGCAGGCGTTATCAGCCCCCACGATGATGCAAGGGATGTTGATATACCGGAAAAAGTCAGCAGTATGGTTTTGTACCCTCCCAATACGAAGAGACAATCAGGGAGACGCCGCAAAACACGCATACCATCGACTGGGGAGATAAGGGTGAGTTCTAATAAACATATTAAGTGTCCAAATCAGGGGTAAACTGACTTGTGATTGTTAGGGTGTGTTGTAATAAACCTATTAAGTGTCCAAATTTGGGGTAAACTGACTTGTGAGTTGTAATAAACATATTAAGTGTCCAAATTTTGGGTAAACTGACTTGTGATTGTTGTTGTTGAAGGCACCGAAGAAAAAGCTTACTAAGAACAGATGTGGTAGGTGCAGGGGTGAAGGACACAATAGGACGAACTGCGCAGTGCCCATCTAAGGTGGTGGAAGGAGTTGTTATTTTGGATTTGAATTGAAGAGAAGAACATTTTTGTGGGTTCAAGACAATTTATTTGGAACCCAGTTTTTGTTTTAATGTTCACGGGATGTTGTTGTTTTTAATATTTTTGGGAACTTTGAAGTGCAACTAAATCATGGCCTTCTTTTGGTTGTTCTTGGTTAGACAAATGGCAGAGTCTTTGATGTTTCATATGGATATTTTGTTGGTTAGGAAAAACTCATGACTTCAGATTAGTTTATTTTGTTGTATTGAATATGTGGATGTGGACACCGCATGTAGTCTGCAGTTGTTGGTTTTGAAAACAATCTATATTTTGATGTGGACAAATTTGATACAGAGCAATATCAAAAGGAAGTCATAGC